TAGCAGCTGTTTCCTTATTGACACAAGTCACTGAATATGTTCAAGTACAGACTACTATAGTCATTTGTTTAAAATGCATTAATTTGGATTCTTGAACTAAGTAAGGGATTCAGTGGCTAAATTTTCTACATGATTCTGCTTCATTTTATCCAGTAAAATGAAGGCTTGGTTGAAAAAAATGACACACATGATGACCAAAACATGATATAATTTCAGACTTTTTCAGGGATATTCAATATTCTATCTTCTACATTGCAACAATTTTCATTTTTACTCAAATGTTTTTACTCAAATTATTCCAGAAAGCACTTGAGGGCAGGACACGAGGCAACGGATGGAAACTAATCAAGGAGAGAAGCAACCTAGAACTAAGAAGAAATTTCCTGACAGTTAGAATTAGTGAAAACAATTTAATAAGTGGAAATGGTATAGGGTTTCCTACCTGAGCAGGAGGTTGGACTAGAAGACCTCCAAGGTCCCTTCCAATTCTGTTATTCTAATCCCAATCAATTTACAGAGAGATTTGAACTTTGTGACATTCTACATTGGAAGTACTCATAAACTACGAAGTATGAGTATATGCTGCCAAATGCAAGTTTTTGCTACACCAATAACAAATGCAAACATCCAATAGGTAAACTGTACCATTTTAATGTGAATCTTTTTGAACTAATAACTATGTAAGAAGAAATGAATTTGCTATATGATCCTCGCTTGCAGCTCAAAGGTGAAGCACACAAAGGTCACAGCAGATGGCAGTCCAAGGCTAGCTTTGTTTGATCCTGAAAATTCCAAGATGATAAAGTAAACTAGAAAGTCAAAACGAAGAAGCAAACAAAAAAAATCTGGAAAAAGACAGTGACAAACCTCTTCCAAGAAAACAACATGAACTTGTCCATGTAATCATCAGGAGCCTAGTCTGACTCAAGGAAACCTGTTCATACCACAGCATGAGTTTCAGGAGGAAGAAATTAAAGGTCTTCTACTCCTTCCCTAGGCCAACCTTTGCTAGGCTAGAAGAATAAGATAGAAAAGGGGTCCCCAACCACCGGGCCGCGGACAGGTACCGGTCCGTGGAACATTTCCTACCGGGCCGCCGGTTTGCTGGGTGCCGCCATCTTATTTGACGAGAAAGTGCCTCCGGGTGAGCTTTTCCGGTTGGAAAGCGGTGTTTGGGTCCTGAAGGAATCCTCGCGCCTTAGTTTCATCAAAGGGGGGGGGCTTCGAACGAAACTAAGGCGCGAGGATTCTTTCAGCACCCAAGGCAAGGCGAGCCGAGCGACCGTCCTGAAGCCGTCCCGAAGCGAAGCCCATCGACAAAGGTACAAAGGAGGAGTTGAAGGTGGCGGGGAGAAGCGGGGGACGGCTGGCTGGCCGGTCGCTCGGCTCGCCTTGCCTTGTCATGCATGCTGATGCCGGTACCGGGCTGCGGCACAAAAAAGGTTGGGGGCCACTGAGGTAGAAGATGATTCTCTTCTGGAGGTTACAATACATTGCCAATCACAATTAAGCTACAATGGGGCAACAGATGACATCAAATAAACCAGCTTCCTATATCTCTGTATGCATAGAAGAGTCAAGTCTGAACATGCTATGCAAAGTTATAAATATTTATTGGTAAAAGAGTGAGTGATAAAAAAGAAAAAATGCTGTTCTTTTCATTCTTAAATACTTCTATACACCTCAGGAAGGGTGGTTTTTTTAAAAAAATCTTGTTAACATTACATTCTCCAAATCTTAACCATTTTTTCTAAGCTCCAAAGCTTGAGAAGACCAATTTTCTTCTCTATATAATCACCTCTGGACACCTACTGCACTTTCTTTTCAATCAGTTCATGCATTTTTCTTTTAATTTGAAAAGGTTATATCCGAAAATGTCCCTAGATATGTAAAAAAATTGTTCTTTTTATATGAGCTTAGATATCCAAATCAACAGGAAACTCAGGTGGCTGACAGACTATTTACAGGGGTAACAATTATTTCAGCAGTACCAGCTGCTCTATAAAGTTTTTAATGCAACTAATAACCTAAGTTAAAAAGATGTGAATAAGCCAACTCAGCAACTCAGTGACAAAAGCACAACAGAAATAAGGGAGAGCAAGGTCACAAAGATATGCCAAATATGACTAAAATAAAACAGTTTGCTGCTGTTGGTATATTGCACAAAAACAAGAGTTCTATGCTACTTCCTCCTCTCTTCATGCATGAAGGTTCTTTTCTGGGGGGGGGGGGGGGGGGGGAATATGACCGGTGGATGCAATGCAAGCCTTCCTTTTATCATGAACTTGATCAATCCCTTGCTCTCACACCGATGCTCAAATTCAAGTTGAGAGCAACAGAACATCTGGTATCGCAGCAGAGCAGAAACTAAGTCTTCTTCTTAGTGATCCCAATTATCTTCCAAGGAATGCACAGTTCACTTCCTGTCAACCTTGTAAGGAAGACCCAACAGAAAACACAGGCAGATGAGCTAATTCTACTTTATTGTAAGATTATATTAAGACAAGGGTCTTCAAACTTGGCAAGTTTAAGACTTGTGGACTTCAACTCCCAGAATTCCTGAGCTAACATGACTGGAGGAGGAATTCTGGGAGTTGAAGTCTACAAGTCTTAAAGCTGTGAAGTTTGAAGATCCCTGCATTAAAAGAATCAAACAAGTCAGAAAGTATCTCCTCCTGGAGCTCAAGAAACTAGGAAAGGTCTCTTCTGACTGGCTGGCCTCACCCACAATCCTGCTATGGGCTAAGTTGTATTTCATCTGAGTAGTCTCTTGGTTACATCTCTTTCCCATTTCTAATTAACATTATACTTCCGCAATCAAAATTACTTTTTTTTAAAAAAAAAATCTGATTTATTTATTTTATATATTCAATTTATTTGGCCAGCCATCTCAAACATTTGATGCTGAGAGGTAACAAAAAAATAAAATCATCATAACAATAATAAACAGCAAGTATAAGAGCTAAGGGGAAAAACTAACCAATGCCATCAATAAAACTAAGAAACCATCAATAAAACCAAGATTCAGGTTCAATCCCACGATCTGGGCCCAAGCACAGCAACAAGCCAGGTTGACTCAGTGGCTAAGACGCTATGCTTGTCAATCAGAAAAGTTGGCAGTTCTGTGGTTCGAATCCCTAGCACTGTGTAATGGAGTGAGCTCCTGTTACCTCTCCCAGCTTCTGCCAACCTAGCAGCTCAAAAGCATGTAAAAATGCAAGTAGAAAAATAGAGACCATTTTGGTGAGAAGATAACAGCGTTGTGTGCGCCTTCGGCATTTCGTCATACCGGCCACATGACCACGGAAATATCTTCAGACAGCGCTGGCTCTTCAGCTTTGTAACAGAGATGAGCACCGCCCTCTAGAGCCAGAAACAACTAGCACATATGTGCGAGGGGAACCTCCCTTACCTAGAGTCTGACCAAGTCTATTCTTCAGGGAAATGATGCCCCAGACGATGCCGCTACAAGAAAAGGTAGTCCTCTGGTTACCTGCCAGGTGATATTCTCTAGCCTAGCAGATGGGACCCAGAGCATACTTCTGTTGGATCTCAAACAATGGGTAGATACAACTGAAATAGTTCCATGCCATGGATGTTATTTAAGCAACACACGTCAACACACGTTATGTGTTGTTGTTTTACTAATGGTTCATTGCTAAGATTAAATATCACCCTATTTCTGTTTTTGTTTTAAATGCCTGCCATAATAATGTAACAGCTTGAGAGATCAGTTAGAAAACAAATTTATAAAAATGTAAATAAAAGAGCACTATGGTCAGCAGATAATTATTGTCTGGCAGACAGCCATCTGCCTCCCTGGCCAGTATGGAAAGAAGCAACTGTCTCACTGTTGCCAGGCTGGCAGTTCAATGCTGAGAATTCTCAAGTATGATGTTACCGTAAGTCTACATTACTAAGTTTCTGTTAACTTTCACAAGAAACTATATATGCTTGAATTACATGAGGCCGTCTTAAGAAAACATCTTGCCTGGATGGAAAGGGGAAAAAAATAGTGTTACTCCTGAACATCCATGCTCATGTTTCCCCAATTATCAACCAAAGGACTTCTGGAGAATCAACTTGCCCTGTAAAGACAAGAAGCAGATTCTGTTCTTCAAGCCCTGAAGAACAGAAGCAACAGGAGACCAGGAGGAAGAGAAGAAAGAAAAGAGACCTCCCGAACAAAGAATGTGTACCATAACAACCTGAAAGGTGTGTATATTTTCATCCATTTGAACTAACTACCATCATCTTGTTTCCTACTATCTTCCCTCTCCAGATCCTTTCCTTGTACATAGTGCCTTTCAAAGTATTAAGTACTGAGGATAATAACTGCCTAAGAATGATAGTGGGAGGGATTTTTAATGTTATAAGCCAGGGGTGTCAAAATCAATTTCATTGAGGGCCGTACCACGGTTGTATTTGACCTCAGGGGGCTGGGGTGGGTGTAGCCATGATGGGCGTGGCAAGCTTGACATCACTCGTGTCGGGGACGCCTGTGGCCCTAGTGCTCTGCCAGCGAAAACGGGCTCCCAAGCGCCGTTTTCAGCTGGGACGACCTCCTGCAACCTTCTGCCAGAGAAAACGGAGCTCATGCTCCGTTTTCACTGACAAGAGACACAACGGACTGGTCCTTCGCTGTTTCCAGGGTGGTCCCACAGATCAGATCTAAGCATTCTGCAGGCCGGATCCAGCCTGCAGGCCTTGAGTTTGACACCCCTGTTATAAGCTGTCTGGAATCCCCAATGTGTGAGCTGGGCCACCATATAAATTTTCTTAATAAATAAATTTAATAAATGAACTGCTGATTAATTTCAATTAATTAGTTTCTAATACCTCTTTACTTCAGTCAAAGAACATAAGCACATCTTTACAGATCTCCTATAACCCATAAAACCAAAAATCTTATTCAAGATTAATATTTCTTATACACCTAAACAATGAGATTCTACAATCGTGCCACTTACGTATCAGTGGACTAGCCATTGTCCCCTTACCCGTTGTGCACGTTCTTTCAAATCTTGATCCTGAGCCAATAAGGACTGCAGTTTCTTCTGGACATCTAAAAGTTTCTCAGGGTTGATTCTGGAAGAGCAGAGAGTCATAGAGAACACCGGTAAACCACAGAAACATTCTCATATCTTCTCTTAAAGGCCTACGAAGATCTGTCTCCTGTTCATAGAAAAACTGCTTCTTCATCTGAGGAATACTTCTTTATCTCTCCTCCCCCATTATTTTAAAATGTAGAAAAACTACTGTGAATATACAGCTGAAATCATATCAGGTATGCAGAGTGTTCTCTTAAAATAATGGAAGCAACAAAAGCTGCAGCTCCAGCCTTTTACGCAGAAAACCATTTGAACTGGAAGAGAAAACCATTCTTCCAAGATAAAATTACAGAATTAACATTATATATCTCCTTTCTACTTATAAAAAGATAGAAAACTGAACTCCTCAGAAGGAAAGAGCTGAATATTTAGCAGTAATTTTTCATACTGAGCTTTTTCATAAGACTTTTCTTTTCAGTGTGTAAAAAATATTTTCACTAGAGATGTTTCCAAACCTGAGAACTCTCAGCAGAACTCCAAATTCACAAACACAATTGTGCACATACAAATCCAAAGCGGTTCTCCATCAAAGAATCAGTGAATAAGTCAGTTCAATAACACAATGCCCCACTATAGCCTTATAAATAATACTTGCTTCAACGGATTTTTCTAGCTGGCGGGCCATTCCAGGTTAAACCTGCTTTTACCATTTCGGAACCCCAAAGTGAGCATTCACTTGCAAACAAAAAACTGGTTCCAGATGACTTTATAGAGTCTATGCCAAAAGATATCTTCTCACACTAAATTGGTTAAAAAATAAACATAATAAATCATTGGAATGCCAACTCTTTATCTGTGTATAGAGCATCAAAGAATAAGGAATGGAGATTTCTAAGAAGGGAAACCAGCTACCTTATTTTTTTAATAGTGCAGGTAGTCCTTGATTTACAACCACAATTGAGCCCAAGATCTATGTTACTAAGTGAGAAATTTGTTAAGTGAGTTTTGCCTCATTTTACAACCTTTCTTGCCATATTTGTTAAGTGGTTAAATTAGTAACAGGATTGTTAAATGAATCTGGCTTTTTCCTATTGACTTTGCTTTTCAGAAGGTCATTGCAACCATCATAAATATCAGTCGTCAAGCATTTGAATGTAAATCACGTGCCCATGGGGATATTTAAGATGCTGGTCATAATTGTGAGAAGTGGCCATAAGTCACTTTTTCCAGTGCCACTGTAATTTCAAATGGTCACGAAACAAACTGTTGTAAGTTGAGAACTATTTTAATTAACTACTTTAACTATTTTGAGTAACCACAGCCTCTTTCTAGTTTCTCGGAGGTCTGACACTCCTTGGACAGAAATCCTTCAGGAACAATGTAAAAAGTCTTAACATAAGAACGTAACCATCTAGCATCAGCATTTGGGATTTTTCACCTTTTAAAAAGTAAAGTTTCAAGCAGATACACTAAAAGGTTTGATTTCTTTGGTTTATTATATTTTAAAAATCCAAGACACACAAACAACGTAGACTACAAAGAGAAGAAGTACCCGATTCCTTACTTTTTAACCTCAAAAATGTATCTACTTACCATAAGTAACTGGAGAATGTAAGCCTCTTGTTCCATCCCCAATTCCTCCCTCAGTTCTCACTTTCTTGCATTGTAAATATTCTCTCTATATACTCCACTATGTAATTTCCTAAACATTTTCTATCTCACATCCATAATCAAAGGTCTAAAACCAAAATCCAATGCAACCAACAACTGGTAACTAAGGCCAAGTTTTATAAAAGCCTTGCATCCAAGCCAGCTCCCCAACTTAACAATTCATCTCAGAAAGAAGCCATCCAATTCCCTTATCTTTCTCTTCTGCCACTTTTAGAATGTGCGTACTAAAAAAATATTATTTTTTAAAAAAACCATTTATTTCACAAACCAAGATCCACGAATAAAATGTAACAGTTAAGTTCTCCTTCAGGATACATTATGCAAGGATAACATTTCAGACCACCCTTCTTTATTTTCATACATTAAGATGTAGATATGAAGAGAAAACAGGACCACGGTAAATCCAACATGGCTAAAAGTTACTAAATTAAAAATAGGAAATGACAATCGAATCCCAAGAACTGGCTAATCAAAGCTAAAGTCAGAAGCTATTGAGCACAAAAATATTGAAAATGAGTCAACCAAGTGATGTACTAATTAAAGAAGCCAAAGTCACTTTTAGGCCTTATGTTTGAGTAGCAGTTGTCAAGGCATGGGAAATAATAATGCCATTTTACTCAACATTAGTGTGGCCTGATTAAAATTTGCTAGAAATTTGGGGCACACGATGACTTAGAAAATATTGGCAACTGGAAAAGATTTAAAGGAGAGACTGCAATGTAGGGACACCAAGAAAAAGCTGTTTTTAAAAATTAGGTATGTTTAAGCTAGACAAGAAAACATTATTGACTGATAGATGTAGCAGCAGAGAAAATTTCAATATCTGTTTTAGTATTTGGAAAACCACTGAAAAGAAAGCAGTGACAGAAATTACTCATTTTACAGACAGGATAAGGAGCCTTCCTCTAAAATCACACAGAAATAGATTAATATCTAGGTATTAGACAACAGGATTAACTGATCACAGGTAGTCCTCATCTTATGGGCACAATTCAGCCAAAAACGTTGTTGTTAAGTGAGACGGTTAAGTGAATTTTGCACCATTTTACAATCTTTCTTGCCACAGTTGTTCAATGAATCACTGAAGTTGTTAAAGTAGTCATCTAGAACAGCAGGGGGGCTAAGTGAGGATGCTTTTTGTAGATTTTAGTTCTGCATTTAACACAATTCTTTCACGTAGACTAGTGTCTAAACTTCTGAACCTTGGCTTTTCTTATTCAATCTGCCTTTGGATTATGGATTTCCTGTCTGGCCGCTCAGAGGGTCAGATTAGGTAATCATACCTCTTCAGACCTTATTCTTAACACTGGTACACCACACGGATTAAGTGAATCTGGCTTCCCCATTGACTTGACTTGTGAGAAGGTCGCAGAAGGTGATCATGTGACTCCCGGACGCTGCAACTCTCATAAACACATGCCGGTTGCAAAGTGTCTGAATTTTGATCAAGTGACCATGGGGATAATGCAATGGTTGTAAGTGTGAAAAAGTCAACTTTTTTTAGTGCCATTGTAACTTCGAATGGTCATTAAATGAATTGTATAAGTTGAGGATTACCTGTGCAGAGTATAGATCTCCTTATGGTTAGCCTATAACAATTCCTACATCGTGTTAAAATAAAGAAGACAATATTGGTGTTACACACTAACTGCTGGCGCAGGACACAAACAACAAAGCAAGGAAGTCTTAGCACTTTCCAAAGGACAGTACATTTATTGGACATTCAAGAAAAGCCTTCTCTATATTGTTTAAGAATGAGAAAACAGGTATTCTTAATGTGCTGAATTCTGCAGCCCAACTTCAGTGTACTTTCTTAAACATTGACCTGATATCTGCTGAATGTTTTCAAGAACCTTCAACCTAGAACTAAGAAGAAATTTTCTGACAGTTAGAACAATTAATCATTGGAATAACTTGCCTCCTGAAGTTGTGAATTCTCCAACACTGGAAGTTTTTAAGAAGAGACTGGACAACCATTGTCTGAAATGGTATAGGGTTTCCTGCCTAAGCAGGGGGTTGGACTAGAAGACCTCCAAGGTCCCTTCCTCTCTCTAGTCTAGTTTAGTCCAGTCCAGTCCATTCACCCCACTAGCCCTTTTTATCATTTACAACCTTTGGGGAAAAAAGATGGCTTTAGCTAGACTTAGGGTACAATATTCTTATGTATTCAAACAATCCTGGATTATTATTTCTTCTGCAAAAATGAACGTAGCAAGCTACAGCTCTGTTATTTAAATGGGTTTTGAAAATAATTAAATTCCTTTAAGAAGACAAAAAGGACCCATTTACAAGAATCTGCAAGCTTCACTGCACTCCAACTTTATCATCCATGATTTAAAGCACTGTAAACAGCATTATCGGAAGTGAACAGCTACTTCAGTGCAGCATATGAACCATTTTTTCTGCATATTGAGCTACTGGATATTAGGTAGCAAATGGCAATTAGTTTTGCATACATGAAGGCATAAAACTGATATCATTGGACGCAAAGCAGAAGACTATTGGTGCTATCAACTGAGCTTTGCTTGGAGAAAAAGATAGCCTTAATGCTCCAAATTTAACATTTCCCTATTTCAGATCAGCATTTTAATATGGCAATATAGGAACTGTGTACTACAGTTGCTTTTGCCAAATGTTCAGTTCTTCAAAGATTGGAGTATATTTGTTTTGCAAAGTATTGTATTTTAATAATAGATTTTAAAAGCATATGTGGGTGTTTGGCAGGAGTTCATAGTGGCAATAGCCATTTGTTTTCCCTCCAATTTTATTTCTTTGGCTAACGGTACACATTTTTAAAAAGAAAAATACATTACTGATGTTAATATTACACAAAACACATACACTTTCCACACAGCATCCAAATCATCTCACATTTCGTGTAATTTTGCTACTGACAAGAGTTCCCTGTCTCAGCTCTGTCTTTGCTAAATAGATTTAAGTGTTGGCAGATCACATCATTTAGCCTGGAAAAAAAAAAAGGTAAAATTGCTAGCAGGAGGTGCAAAAAATAAGAAAGGTCAGATTGTATTTACAGACCTCCATTTCCCCAAACGTTTGAAATAATGGAAGTACATTTTGTCCATCTGCTTTCCTAGGAAATAAGATTTGAAATGTAGGCAGTGGTTCGTTTATTTGTTTAAAAAAAATAATGTGTTGCCAATGGATATTCTCATTATGTTCCACATCATTTTTAAGTTTAAAAGGAAGTTTTAAAAATCTATTTTATGAAGAAAAAAATGGTCTCATAGAAAAGAAATCGCTTTCGGTTTCAAATGCGTAATTAAGTTATGTACAAAGTGGAAAACAACTTACTTGATATTGCTGACAGGAACTTTCTTCTGTGACAGCTGCTGAATCATGCCATTTTCCTCTGAAGGAAGCAAAACGAGGAGAGCTTCACCACCTTCTTTGTACCTATGTAAAGTGGGCGAAAACAGCAGGGTGGGGTCTTCAAATCTGAGATTTTCAGGAAGTAATTACAAGAAGTCCTCAATTTATGACCATAACTGAGTCCAAAATTCCCCCTGCTAAGTAAGATAGTCATTGAGTTTTGCCTCATTTTACGACCTTTCTGGCCACAGTTAAGTGAATCACTTCAGTTGTTAAGTTAGTAACATGGTTGTTAGTGAATCTGGCTTCCCTGTTGACTGTGCTTGTCGGGTGCTCGCAAAAGGCGATCACATGATCCGGGGACACTGCAATCGTCTAAATACATGCCAGTTGGCAAGCATCCAAATTTTGACCACTTGATCCTGGGGATGATGATCAGTGTGAAAGTGTCATCAGTGTCAAAATTATTATTTTTTCAATGCTGTTGTTACTTCAAAAGGTCACTAAAGAAATGGTTGTATCTCAGGGACCACCCTGTTCCCAGGATTTCTGGAAATAAACGTAAGAGGTGTAAATGGGCCTGTCACAGGCAGGCTCTTCACAGAGCAAGGAATGGAAGGATGGAGAGGTCCCATGAAGACTGCTGCAAACTCAGCTGAGACCATTTTTAATTTTGGGTTTGTTTTTGTTTTAAAAATTCTGCCTATTCTTCTTAAATGAGTAGCACCAATACATTTTGTTCATGTTCTCCCACCTGAAATTACCGTTACCAAGAATATGCTCTAACACCATCCACTGGTCTGATTTTAAAGCATTTATGCTAGAAATCAGTTTAGATCTCTGACAAAAATATCTGTTTTTCCCCATCAGCCTCTTTGCTGGAGGGGGGAAAAAACGAGACCATCTTGCCCAATTCCAGCTCCAAATCTTCTTAACCCTATCTATGAGCTCCCATTTCATAGCCCCTGAGAAAACACAGGGCATGACAGATGCCCATTGATGTAAACCAGAGGTCCAATCTTAGAAACTTTAAGATTTGGGACTTCAACTCCCAGAATTCATGGCTGGCACAGGTTGAATAGCCTTGTTTTAAGACAGTCAAAAAGCAAACCATTGTTCCTGCCAAACAAGTCAGGCTTTGAAGCCAAGAATGAAGATTCCTATTCTCGCTATTAAAAGGATGCAACAATTCAAGACCGTGGAATAAAAAATTATAGTAAATTATATGGTTTCTTTAGCAGAAGCAGAGCAGAGCAATAAGCTGCAATGCACCACTTATTCATAATACCAAGATCCTGGGTTATAACAGACAGACAGAACATAGTTGAGATGCCGTGTTAAAACTGTTTTTTTTTTTTCAGAGAAAAAAAAATGAAAGAGGTACTAAATCATTCTTTTCCCTTCCTTCAGCACCACCAAGACCTAGGACAACATTCCTTTTTTCTTTGATCAACATTGGACAGAGAATGTATCCACATAGCAATGAAATTTGATATTTGAAAATCAATTATCCCTTTCGCTGTCACCCAACCATGGCGTCAATTATTTTGTTACTCCTGTGAACAGCAAAAGCTGGTCAGATTTTCTTTAGAAATGTATTATTTAATAACTATATTTGTAACATATTCACAAACATATCTACTCAAACTCTAAGCCAAAGAGACATGGAGTTCAGAGGAGCATTGTATATGATTCTCCACGCTACAAGCAAAGAACAGAAAATTTGGAATTTAAGGAATGAATGAAGATCCTCTGCTTCATGCTCAAAATCTCTCAAATGTGCTTATTATTTTGTAATATGTAAAACATGAATAAATACCATTGTATAATTGTTCAATCCAATAAACGGCAACCATGTACGTCCAATAACTTAACCTCACAAACATTATTACATGAAAACCTAAACTAGGTTGCTTTTATCTATATAACCCAAAGTAGAGATTATTCTGTAGAGGTCCCATCCTAAGAATTAAGAAAGTTTCAACACCCTAAGCAATATTTCTCAACCTTCGCAATTTTAAGATGTGTAAACCTCAACTTCCAGCATATTGGTTGGGGAATTCTGGGAGTTGAACTCCACACATTTTAAAGCTGCCGAGGTTGAGAGACATAGCTTTAAAATTTGTTAGTCCCTCAGGCCACAGCTACATTCATTATAGAAAGTTTATCCAGTAATGTTCTAAAAGACTTAATCAGTCTGAGTACTTGAATACATCTAACCAATGGTCATGGAATCTTGCTGACTGTCAGATTTCCTTCCTTGTAGTGATGTCTGGAAAAAATCCAAGGAACAAAAAGAAATCTAAGTGCTTTGATTAATAGCCTTATTTAAAGGAAGACTAAGAGAATTCCAAAGAGAACCTTATTTCAAAAGACACACCATTATATAGGTAGTTGATTACTGCAAAGCTCGTTGGTTGCCTTCCACATTTTCATTATCAAAAACTAGATATTTTTTTTATTATAGTGAAAGGATAGTCTGATCTATTCATTGTTTTCATAGCCAGTAGCCCTTTTTAATCACTCTAAGAAATAATTTATACACTCCTGATCACTCTCTGATTCTTTTGAGATTCAGAACATACCATTTTTAAAAAATTCTCATGCTATTCACTTCTATACCAACAAACATATTTTTGTTGTTGTTGTTTAGGCATAACAATGGCTAACAAACAGCCGTTTCATGCTTACCAAGCCAGGAATAATGGCTGAAGGCAGCATCCCAGTTTACTCTACCTGGAAGAAACCAGAGACTAAAACAAATCATGACTTCATTCTCTAATTGCTTCTGGGTTCAAAACCAGGTTTTGAACCAGCTATGCTAAGCTAAATTTTCTAGTTACACTACAGCAAACAAAGCTTGCATCAGTTGCAAACCACCACGTTTGCTGCCAGGCTGAGTGTGATGTACAAACTGGGCTCTGAGACTTAGTTATATGTGCAAAGCATTTAAAGTATGTTGTCATTTGTTGGCACACACAAAAAAAAAATACATGAAAGTGACTTTCCAAAATGAAAACTAACTGCTGTCCTCTAGTGGCACTGTATTTTGTTTTATATCAAATGTGATCAAAACAATCCTCATGGAAGAAAATTCTGAACCAGATGGCTATAAATATTTCTGCATGAAGACACTATAGTTCTACTATGTTGGTGTTGTAATCTATGTTATCAAATGAACCTTCCAAGAGATAAAGCTTATGATCTCTCTGGCAACCCCAATCCTTTTTAAAAGGATCTGGACATAAGATATTGCCTAATTTAACTTCATATTTTATTCCTATTTGATCAAACAAAATCATTCCACAACAACTGAAGCTAGGAAATAACTCTTTTTTCTCATTCCAGTGTGGAGTTCAGATCAAGTGAAAGTTAAACCAAGGACTTGTCAAAAAAATTTTTTTTTCTATTTTGTTTGCATTGGTTTCTCTAATACAGTTTTTCTTAAGCAAAAGTAGGTCAACTGGTGCCAATGGGCTCCAGTGTATCTATTAATTTTGTGGAGGTACCTGCAAGGTTGCATACTTCATTTAGTTTTAATTTTTTCCTAATTTCTCTTAATTAAAATAATGTATGGAAAATGGGCAGAGTAGGGAATTCTTTTAGAGCCCATAGGATTTATTAGAAAACAGCAATGGTAGATGGTGGAGCCTCGGTGTTTCAGTTGAAAAATGTATCAACCTGTTGGAGTGATAAAAAAACAATCTAAAGGATGGGCAGAGTAGCCTCACTACTTTGCCTTCCAATAAATGGTTGTATCATTACCCACTTTGTACTGTAATTTCTATTTTAAATGCCATTTTGGAAACAGACAGGTCCCTTCAGTGTGAGAGACCTATGGCCTGGTTTCAAATTTCCCAATGTGCCCACTGGTCTAAAAACACTGGATTTCTTTGAGCCAAAACATGCTAAAGGCTGTTAGAAATCCAGTGGGTTCTTTTACTATTAGCTCAGTATTCAATTAATTAATTAATTAGCTCAGTATTTATTTAATTAAACTTAGTTGAAGACAAATTGGTAACCACCACCGATATCTCTAGTCCCTCAGAATGTTAGTTAAAAAAATGCCAGATAAAACAAGAAATCTGGCAGATATTATGGAGAATTTTCGTGGTGTGTGCGTGTATGTACACACCAGTTTGGTGTAGGATCTCGAAGTGTACCATATCTAAACAGTTTAGAGCAAGAGTCTTCCAACTTGACAGCTTTAAGACTTGTGGACTTCAACTCCCAGAATTCCTCCTCCAGTCATGTTAGCTCAGGAATTTTGGGAGTTGAAGTCCACAAGTCTTAAACTTGCCAAGGTTGAAGACCCTTGGTTTAGAGAGAACTGAAGGAGAAACATGTGTATACTTCCCTAGACTTACAACATTTCTAAAAGTGTTAAAATGACATACTTATTTCTTGCCTCCTTCACTGCTTCCATCTGAAGTACTCAAATAATCTGACCTGTTGCCAGTAAAGCTTCTGCCAGAGATTCTGACACTTGGTAGAGGGTGGAAGATATGGAGGATTTGATGACTGAAGAAAGAGACGCTAAGACAAGCCTTCTCGGCTCCTAAACTAGAAAATGCTGTGGAAGACATTCCTGAAATTGACTAGCTCTAGCCAATAAACAACATTCAGACATGAGGGCTGAAGGGAGGAGGCCGGAACTGCTCCTCATTCTGCCATTGTGTTCCCAGAGAAAGAAGCTCTAATTGCCACTGAAACCAAGTAACAGAGAGAAATGTCCTCCTTACCTTTCACACTGAATTAGACCAAATGAGGTATTGTCAGAGGGTAGGAAGAAAGACATATACTTTCCAGATGAACATACTGTTTTTCTCTAAATTATAGTGTTTATTTTTCTTAGTGCCTTTAGGTAGATAATTTGTACGTTTCTAATAGATAGAGTGGCCTGAGCTTTACAAAATGATATATAGAATTCTACCCTGACAATTCCAAATGGAGCTTTTTAGAGTCTACCTTGTTTCCCTTCCTGACTCATGCAATGTACATTCTCAGTATTTCTACTTCCTGGATTGCTTCTAGCCTAGGAGGGATCATGGAAAGAGGGAAACACAATTCTTTCCTGAGCTTCT